GCGTCCTGATCGGTGGCCCAGCGGCGCGTCCTGATCGGTGGCCCAGCAGCGCGTCCTGATCGGTGGCCCATCGGCGCGTCCTGATCGGTGGCCCAGCAGCGCGTCCTGATCGGTGGCCCATCGGCGCGTCCTGATCGGTGGCCCAGCAGCGCGTCCTGATCGGTGGCCCAGCAGCGCGTCCTGATCGGTGGCCCAGCAGCGCGTCCTGATCGGTGGCCCAGCAGCGCGTCCTGATCGGTACCCAACATTGCAACGGCGATTAAATACCACCAAAAGAAAGCTCTAAAATAAATTCATGTAGATACAGTGTTGCATGACCGCACAATTGTCATTCAGACTGTGACAGTGCTGAAAGCTGAAAATTGTCCTGGGCAGGAAGGGGGTGAACGTACCCGGTACTGAAGGGGTTATTTTACCTGTGATAATGGAATTTCTGTCTTTAATGACGTTTGTGACGCTGGGAGGCGGCTGGGTGTTTGGCTGTTGCCATGATTGGCTGTCACAGCGGTCACATGATCGGTAAGCTCCCGAACGCAAGTAGTGATCGGGACCTTTCTGTGAGGCGCCGATAAATGTGCCGGGAGCGCAAAGGGAGCTCTCTGCACATTTGTTAATATTTGGTGCGCAAATATGCGGCTTCTCGCCGTCCAGGCCCAGCCCCCGAGAGGCCACGTATTTGCGTACCGTCGGTGCCAAGGAGTTCATCACCATTGGAGCTGATCTGTGATCTGCAATTCTTCATTCACATGAACTCTCCTTATATCTGAAGGAGGCTGTGGGGACATGTAACGGAGGCCCTGATGGCAAAAGACATCGAGAAGGCAACCGATCACAAGAGGGCGCTGGAGGAGCGGCAGAGAGCGGAGGAGCGACATCGGGCCGAGACCGAGACTGCATGGACCACAAAAATATTTCTCCAAAGAGGTACGGAGCCAATACTGCATGTGGTGGGTGAGAATCCGCTGAGCTGAGGAGATCCTGAGGCTCTACCCAACCGAGGACAACGGACCGGCCATCAGTGTTCTCTGCAGTCTCCCAGCGGATCCCATCACTAAGTTCGCATGCCGCCTTCTGTACTGTGTGGAGGCGGCCATCTTGCCGGGAAGAGGCGGGCTTTGCTTCCTTTAAGTGTTACTAAACCTAGGACCCCGCATTCACTATATCTGCTCTCCCCGGACCCCGCATTCACTATATCCGCTCTCCCCGGACCCCGCATTCCCTGTATCCGCTCTCCCCGGACCCCGCATTCACTATATCCGCTCTCCCCGGACCCCGCATTCACTATATCCACTCTCCCTGGACCCCGCATTCATTATTCCGCTCTCTCCCGGACTATTATCCACTCTCCCCGGACCCCGCATTCACTATATCCGGTCTCCCCGGACCCCGCATTCATTATATCCGCTCTCCCCGGGACCCCGCATTCACTATATCCGCTCTCCCCGGACCCCGCATTCACTATATCCGCTCTCCCCGGACCCCGCATTCACTATATCCGCTCTCCCCGGACCCCGCATTCACTATATCCGCTCTCCCCGGACCCCGCATTCACTATATCCGCTCTCCCGGACCCCCGCATCTCACTATATCTGTATCCTCTCCCCGGACCCCGCATTCACTGTATCCGCTCTCCCCGGACCCCGCATTCACTGTATCCGCTCTCCCCGGACCCCGCATTCACTGTATCCGCGCCTCCCCTCCCCGGACCCCGCATTTACTGTATCCGCCCTCCCCGGACCCCGCATTCACTGTATCCGCCCTCCCGGACCCCGCATTCACTATATCCGCCCTCCCCGGACCCCGCATTCACTATATCCGCCCTCCCCGGACCCCGCATTCACTATATCCGCCCTCCCCGGACCCCGCATTCACTGTGTCCGCTCTCCCCGGACCCGCATTCACTATATCCGCTCTCCCCGGACCCCGCATTCACTATATCACCAATGGCTCTCCCCGGACCCCGCATTCACTATATCCGCTTTCCCCGGACCCCGCATTCACTATATCCGCTCTCCCCTGACCCCGCATTCACCATGTCCGCTCTCCCCGGACCCCGCATTCACTATATCCCCGGACCCCTCTCTCCCCTTTCCCCGGACCCCGCATTCACTATATCCGCTTTCCCCGGACCCCGCATTCACTATATCCGCTCTCCCCTGATCCTCTCCCCCCCGCATTCACCATGTCCGCTCTCCCCGGGACCCCGCATTCGCACTATATCCGCTCTCCCCGGACCCCACATTCACTATATCCACTCTCCCCGGACCCCGCATTCACCATGTCCGCTCTCCCCGGACCCCGCATTCACTATATCCGCTCTCCCCGGACCCCACATTCACTATATCCGCTCTCCCACAGTACAGAGAACATGGAAATGCAATTATTTTAGTAAATATAAACTGCTAAATACCTTTTCCCATCAGCAGTATATAGCAGTCCTGTGACTTCTATCAGTGTCCAGCAGAGCACTGGTTAATCTTGTAGTTTTCATTCTGCTCTAGGAGAATGCAGAACCCCTGGTTCTGTCTGGACAGTGCTGATTGGCCCTGTGCTGATCACATGCACTCTCAAAAACCTCTCTAGCAATACACAAAACACTGAGCATGTGCAGAGAGACTCCACACGATATGTCCTATCAGGAGATAAGAGGGGGGCACTGGAAGATGGGGGGAGGATCAGAGAAGACAGGATCAAAACCGCATTTTTACACAACCCCTTAGGTTCCACAGTGAGCGTAACAAACCTGCTTCTGCTATACAGACTGATTGCACTGTTGTGGGTTTTGTAACATTTAACCCCTGCAGCCCCAAGTTGTTTCTGGCACTTTCTATTTACATTTTAAAATCGTTTTTTTTTTTTTTTTTTTTTTTGCTAGAAAATGTCTTAGAACCCCCAAACTTTTTTTTAAAGCAGAGGCCCTAGAAAGGAAATTAGTGGGGTTTTTTCTAAAAAAAATAAAAAAATAAAAAAACCCAATTTATTTTGTAAAATATAAGAGATGGTTACGCCGAGTAAATAGATACCAAACATGTCACGCTGTAAAATTGCGCACGCCCGTGCAACGGCGACAAGCGGTATACATTTTAGTATTCATAGGCGACGCTCTAAAAGCCTTTACAGGTTACCCCTTTATATCTACAGGGGAGGTCTAGTCCTAGGATTGGACAAGAAATGGCCGCTGCCCCGATCTAGAACTGGTCTTCACAGCAACCCACATGGAAGAAACATTTATTTTAAAAATATTTTTTCCATATATATTGACGTGTATTTGAAATATTACAATTTTGGCCGTATTCAGTATATTTATTACACAGAGGGGTACCCAGGGAGATTATATCCCCCTATACAGGACAAAGGGGGTACCTAGGAATGTCTGATCCCCCTATACAGAAGAGGGGTTCCCAGGGAGATTATATCCCCCTATACAGGACAGAAGGGAACCCAGGGATGTCAGATCTCCCTATACGGAACAGAGGGGTACCTGGGAAGGTCAGATCCCCCCCATACAGGACAGAGGGGGGTACCCGGGAAGGTCAGATCCCCCCCATACAGGACAGAGGGGGGTACCCGGGAAGGTCAGATCCCCCCATACAGGACAGAGGGGGGTACCCGGGAAGGTCAGATCCCCCCCATACAGGACAGAGGGGGGTACCCGGGAAGGTCAGATCCCCCCATACAGGACAGAGGGGTACCCGGGAAGGTCAGATCCCCCCATACAGGACAGAGGGGTACCCGGGAAGGTCAGATCCCTCCTATACAGGACAGAGGGGTACCCGGGAAGGTCAGATCCCCCCTATACAGGACAGAGGGGTACCCGGGAAGGTCAGATCCCCCCTATACAGGACAGAGGGGTACCCGGGAAGGTCAGATCCCCCCATACAGGACAGAGGGGTACCCGGGAAGGTCAGATCCCCCCATACAGGACAGAGGGGTACCCGGGAAGGTCAGATCCCTCCTATACAGGACAGAGGGGTACCCGGGTAGGTCAGATCCCTCCTATACAGGACAGAGGGGTACCCGGGAAGGTCAGATCCCCCTATACAGGACAGAGGGGTACCCGGGAAGGTCAGATCCCCCCATACAGGACAGAGGGGTACCCGGGAAGGTCAGATCCCCCTATACAGGACAGAGGGGTACCCGGGAAGGTCAGATCCCCCCATACAGGACAGAGGGGTACCCGGGAAGGTCAGATCCCTCCCATACAGGACAGAGGGGTACCCGGGAAGGTCAGATCCCCCCTATACAGGACAGAGGGGTACCCGGGAAGGTCAGATCCCCCCTATACAGGACAGAGGGGTACCCGGGTAGGTCAGATGCCCCCTATACAGGACAGAGGGGTACCCGGGAAGGTCAGATCCCCCTATACAGGACAGAGGGGTACCCGGGTAGGTCAGATCCCCCTATACAGGACAGAGGGGTACCCGGGAAGGTCAGATGCCCCCTATACAGGACAGAGGGGTACCCGGGAAGGTCAGATCCCTCCTATACAGGACAGAGGGGTACCCGGGTAGGTCAGATCCCCCCATACAGGACAGAGGGGTACCCGGGTAGGTCAGATGCCCCCCTATACAGGACAGAGGGGTACCCGGGTAGGTCAGATGCCCCCTATACAGGACAGAGGGGTACCCGGGTAGGTCAGATGCCCCCCCTATACAGGACAGAGGGGTACCCGGGTAGGTCAGATGCCCCTATACAGGACAGAGGGGTACCCGGGTAGGTCAGATGCCCCTATACAGGACAGAGGGGTACCCGGGTAGGTCAGATGCCCCCTATACAGGACAGAGGGGTCCCCAGGTGTGTCAGATCCCCCCTATAGAGGACAGAGAGGTGCCCGGGAAGGCCAGATACCCCCCATTCAGGACAGAGGGGTACCCGGGAAGGTCAGATCCCCCCATACAGGATCTATAGTTGAGTATTTCTGCTCCTCCCACAATATAATGACGGCTTCTATCTCCTGACAGGGTGAAGGTTGGATCTATAACAAACCTCTGTGGAAAACCTCCATTTCTGGCCTGTAAAGGTGCCCCCCTTTATCTCTCATCTTTCTGTATAAATGCATCTTCTTGTGGGACGCCCAGACCAGCGCAGAACCAGCGACCTCCCGGGACCCCGAAATCCGCAGCTCCGACCTCCCGGGACCCCGAAATCCGCAGCTCCGACCTCCCGGGACCCTGAAATCCGCAGCTCCGACCTCCCGGGACCCCGAAATCCGCAGCTCCGACCTCCCGGGACCCCGAAATCCGACGACCTCCCGGGACCCCGAAATCCGCAGCTCCGATCCCGACCCCGAAATCCGCAGCTCCGACCTCCCGGGACCCCCCAGCTCCGAATCCCGGGACCCCGAAATCCGCAGCTCCGACCTCCGGGACCCCGAAATCCGCAGCTCCGACCTCCCGGGACCCCGCCTCTCATGCAGTATTCATTTCAGTGTTTGTGATTTTCATTTTCCCCCGACGCTGGCCTGCCGAGGGAAGGATAAAAAGGCGGCCCCGGGGCCCGCGAGGACTCCCCCCTCCCCCAACACGAAGCCTTTAAATGCTTGGCGGGTCAGGAAATGGGTCGCAGCTGTAGATGGCGAGTGTCCCGCAGGGGGCGGGACGGAGAACCTGCTTTTGTTTTGGATTGTTTTCTGACATCACCCCATCCTACCCTCCCCCACACACGGTGCCTGTGGACCCTCCGGAAGGGAAAGGGAGCGCCATGGACGCACCGAACGCCGCTGACTTTTTTTTTTTATTTTTATGATTCTGCAAAACTGATTTGATTGGAATTACAGAACGCCGTAGGATCTCATTCGCCTGTCGTGGGGGAGACACAATGCGATGAACCCTTTCCCTGCCGCAAGGTGTCGCGGCTCGCTTCCTGTCCGGTGTCATGGCGGGAGAGCAGTGCGGATCCTGGCGATATTTCTGGAAGACTGAGATCTCATTGTGAACGCACACGACACAATCCGAATCAGGGAACGTCAGATCTCCGGTAACGTTTTTGTATTGCTGGCGGTGACGCGCGCTCAGCGGAATCTCGTACCGTTCACGTCCCACGCGTGGTGCCTTAATCTTTGTGAATGCCGTCTTCCAATCAGTGTGAATAAACTGCGGCTGTGTCTGTTCTTACTGCGGTGATATGGCCACGCCCTCTTAGCGTGTCTGTGTGCGCAGGGGGCGGGGTGTCTGTTCTGCGCACATGCTGGGATCTGCACTGATGAGACAGACACCCCCCCATACTGTGTGCTGCAGGGAGAATGGAAAATAAAATGTAAATTGTCACCCGAGTGTCACGTGTACATCACTGCACAGCGGGGAGGGGGGGAATCACCCCAATTCCTGCACCTTCACCCCAGATCACCCCGATTCCTGCACCTTCACCCCTCAGCTCACCCCGATTCCTGCACGTTCACACCCTCCTGCATCACCCCGATTCCTGCACCTTCACCCCTCAGCTCACCCCGATTCCTGCACGTTCACCCTCCAGATCACCCCGATTCCTGCACGTTCACCCCCTCAGATCACCCCGATTCCTGTACCTTCACCCCTCAGATCACCCGATTCCTGCACCTTCACCCCTCAGATCACCCCGATTCCTGCACCTTCACCCCTCAGATCACCCCAATTCCTGTACCTGCACCCCTTCACCCCGATTCCTGCACCGTTCACCCCTCAGATCATCACCCCGATTCTGCGCCTTCACCCCGATTCCTGCACCTTCACCCCTCAGATCACCCCGATTCCTGCGCCTTCACCCCTCAGATCACCCCGATTCCTGCACCTTCACCCCTCAGATCACCCCGATTCCTGTACCTTCACCCCTCAGATCACCCCGATTCCTGCACGTTCACCCCTCAGATCACCCCGATTCCTGCACCTTCACCCTCAGATCACCTCAGATCACCCCGATTCCTGCACCTTCACCCCTCAGATCACCCCGATTCCTCCTTGCACCTTCACCCCGATTCCTCACCTTCACCCCTCATCACCCCGATTCCTGCACCTTCACCCCTCAGATCACCCCGATTCCTGCACCTTCACCCCTCAGCTCACCCCGATTCCTGCACCTTCACCCCTCAGATCACCCCGATTCCTGCACCTTCACCCCTCAGATCACCCCGATTCCTGTACCTTCACCCCTCAGATCACCCCGATTCCTGCACGTTCACCCCTCAGATCACCCCGATTCCTGCACGTTCACCCCTCAGATCACCCCGATTCCTGCACCTTCACCCCTCAGATCACCCCGATTCCTGCACCTTTCAGCCCTCAGATCACCCCGATTCCTGCACCTTCACCCCTCAGATCACCCCGATTCCTGCCTTCAGCCCTCAGATCACCCCGATTCCTGCACCTTCACCCCTCAGATCACCCCGATTCCTGCGCACCTTCACCCCTCAGATCACCCCGATTCCTGCACCTTCACCCCTCAGATCACCCCGATTCCTGCGCCTTCACCCCTCAGATCACCCCGATTCCTGCACGTTCACAGCCCTCAGATCACCCGATTCCTGCACCTTCAGCCCTCAGATCACCCCGATTCCTGCACCTTCACCCCTCAGATCACCCCGATTCCTGCACCTTCACCCCTCAGTCTCACCCCGATTCCTGCGCCTTCACCCCTCAGATCACCCCGATTCCTGCACGTTCATTCCCCTCAGATCACCCCGATTCCTGCCGCCTTCACCCCTCAGATCACCCCGATTCCTGCGCCTTCACCCCTCAGATCACCCCGATTCCTGCACCTTCACCCCTCAGATCACCCCGATTCCTGCGCCTTCACCCTCAGATCACCCCGATTCCTGCGCCTTCACCCCTCAGATCACCCGATTCCTGCGCCTTCACCCCACAGATCATTCCCCTTCACCCCACAGATCACCCCAATTCCTGCGCCTTCACCCCTCAGATCACCCCGATTCCTGCACCTTCATTAAAACTATATTTATACAGGATTTATGGCGCCAACAGTTTGCTCAGCACTTTACAATATAACGGGAGACAATACAGCAACAATACAGATCAATACAAGAGGGATTGAGGGCCTGATCCTGGGAGCTTACAATTTAGGAGGGAGGGGCTAGTGGTTGAAAAGGTAGTATCTGTGGGGGATGGACTGGTAGGAGGAATAGAAGATTCCATTATTAGCTGAGGGCAGGATAGGCTTCCCTGAAGAGATCAGTTTTCAGAGATCACCTAAAAGTGAGCAGAGTAGGCAATAGTCTGATAAATTGGGGTAGAGAGTTCCAGAGGATGGGAGAAGTCCTGGAGACAAGCATGGGAGGAGACGATGGAGCTAGAGAGCAGAGGGGTGGAGGACACTGAGTGGAGGTTTGGGGGATTGGCAGAGAGGGGTGGGGGGAGACACTGATTGTGGAATTTTATCCGTTGGGCAATGGGAAGCCAGTGGAGGGATTGGCAGAGAGGGGTGGAGGACACTGAGTGGAGGCCAGTGGAGGGATTGGCAGAGGGGGTGAGAGACACTGAGTGGAGGCCAGTGGAGGGATTGGCAGAGAGGGGTGGAGGACACTGGAGGCCAGTGGAGGGATTGGCAGAGGGGGGTGGAGGACACTGAGTGGAGGCCAGAGGAGGGATTGGCAGAGAGGGGTGGAGGACACTGAATGAGTGGAGGGATTGGCAGAGGGGGGTGGAGGACACTGAGTGGAGGCCAGTGGAGGGATTGGCAGAGAGGGGTGGCAGAGGGGGGGAGGACACTGAATGGAGAGGGGGCCTGAATGGGTATAGGGATTGGCAGAGGGGGGTGGAGGACACTGAATGGAGGCCAGTGGAGGGATTGGCAGAGGGGGGGTGGCAGATACAGAACGGTTAGTAAGGTGGATGAGTCTGGCAGCAGCATTCATGATAGACTGAAGAGGGGATAGCCTGCGGTGAGGTCGGCCAATGAGGAGGGAGTTACAATAGTCAAGGCGAGAGATAACCAGGGAGGGAATAAGTTGCTTAGTGGTTTCCGAGGTTAGGAACGGCCGTATCTTGGAGATGTTGCGGAGGTTGGAGATGTTACGGAGGTGAAGTCTACACAATTTGGACAGTGATTGGATTTGGGACTGAAAGGACAGATGGGAGTCTAGGATTACACCCAAGTACCCTGGCATGAGGGAGGGACTGATGGTTGTTTTATTGATCTTGATGGGATAAGTCAGGGGAGGGGGCACGGGCTGGGGGGAATACTAAGAGCTCAGTTTTGGAAAGATTGAGTTTGAGGAAGTGGAGTGACATCCATGCCGATATGTCGCTTAGTAGGTTAGTAATGCGAGAGGAGACTGAGAGGGAGGAGGAGACTGAAGGGGAGAGGTGAGGAGGAGACTGAAGGGGTGAGGTGAGGAGGAGACTGAAAGAGGAGACTGAAGGGGCGAAGTGTAGAAGAGACTGAAGGGGCGGGGTGAGGTGACTGAAGGGGGAGGTGAGGAGGAGACTGAAGGGGTGAGGAGTAGAAAGATAGATTTGTGTGTCATCAGCGTAGAGATGGTACTTAAAGCCATGAGAGTTTATGAAGTGACCAAGGAAGAAGGTGTAGATGGAGAAGAGAAGGGGTTTATGAACAGAACTTGAGGGACCCCTACAGAAAGAGGGAGTGAAGAGGAGGAAGCAGAGTTATAGGTAAAGCTGAAGGAGCGCTGCAATAGGTAGGAGGAGAACCAGGAGAGAGCAGAGTCTCTGAGGCCAAGAGAGTGCAGTATTTTGAGGAGGAGGGGATGATCAACCGTATCAAAAGCCGCAGAGAGGTCAAGTAGTAAGAGTACGGAGTAGTGGCCATTGGTTGGGATGAGTACGGAGTAGTGGCCATTGGTTGGGATGAGTACGGAGTAGTGACCATTGGTTGGGAGGAGTACGGAGTAGTGGCCATTGGTTGGGATGAGTACGGAGTAGTGACCGTTGGTTGGGAGGAGTACGGTGTAGTGGTCATTGGTTGGGATGAGTACGGTGTAGTGGTCGTTGGTTGGGATGAGTACGGAGTAGTGGCCGTTGGTCGGGATGAGTACGGAGTAGTGGCCATTGGTCGGGAGGAGTACGGAGTAGTGGCCATTGGTCGGGAGGAGTACGGAGTAGTGGCCATTGGTCGGGAGGAGTACGGAGTAGTGGCCATTGGTCGGGAGGAGTACGGAGTAGTGGCCATTGGTCGGGAGGAGTACGGAGTAGTGGCCATTGGTCGGGAGGAGTACGGAGTAGTGGCCATTGGTCGGGAGGAGTACGGAGTAGTGGCCATTGGTTGGGATGATGAGTACAGAGTAGTGGCCATTGGTTATAGCAGTTAGTAGATCATTAGTGAGGTTTAGTAGGGCAGGTGTCAGTGGAGTGTAGTGAGCGAAAGCCAGACTGTAAAGGGTGAAGAAGGTTGTTGTCGGTGAGGTGGGAGGAGCTCAGGCGATTGGCGATTGTAGACTAAGCGTTCTAGGAGTTTAGAGGTAAATGGCAGCAGGGAGATGGGTCTTAAGTTGTTCAGGTTGGTGGGGTCCAGGGAGGGCTTGTTAAGCATGGGAGTGATGTGCGCATGCTTTAGAGGGGAGGGGAAGGCACCATTAGAGAGGGAGAGATTGAAGATGTGAGTGAGGGAGCATAGGATGGAAGAAGAGGGTGACCGTAGTTGTTGTGAGGGGACAGGATCCAGGGGGCAGGTAGTGAGGCAGCTTCTGAGGAAACCTTAGTGACCTCTTCAGTAGTAGAAGGTCAGAAGAGGAAAGTGTTGAGGGAGGTTTACTATAAGGTATGCTAAGTGGGATGGATGTCTGCGAAGTGGAGATGCCCCTACGAATTGCGCCAATCTTGTTTTTGAAATGATTTGCAATCTCGTGAGCAGTGAGTGAGGTGCTGGGAGGAGGTGGAGGTGAGTGAGGTGCTGGGTGGAGGTGGGGAAAGTAGAGAGTTAAAAGTGGAGAAGAGACAACGAGGACTGGATGACAAGGTATTAATAAGAGTGACAAAGTCGTCTTGTTTGGCAGCATGGAGGGAGGAATTGTATGTTAAGAAAGCAGATTTAAGGTCTCCCCGGACCCCGCATTCGCTATATCCGCTCTCCCCGGACCCCGCATTCGCTACATCCGCTCTCCCCGGACCCCCCGCATTCGCTACATCCGCATTCTCCCCGGACCCCGCATTCGCTGTATCCGCTCTCCCCGGACCCCGCATTCAATGCTCTACCCCGCTTGGGGACCCCGCATTCACTGTATCCGCTCTCCCCGGACCCCGCATTCACTGTATCCGCTCTCCCCGGACCCCGCATTCACTGTATCCCCTCCCCCCGGACCCGCATTCACTGTATCCGCTCCCCCCGGACCCCGCATTCACTGTATCCGCTCCCCCCGGTGAGGAGGAGACTGAAGGGGTGAGGTGTAGAAGAGACTGAAGGGGCAAGGTGAGGAGGAGACTGAAGGGTGTGAGGTGAGGAGTAAAAAGATAGATTTGTGTGTCATCAGCATAGAGATGGTACTTAAAGCCATGGGAGTTTATCAAGTGACCAAGGAAGGAGGTGTAGATGGGGAAGAGAAGGGGTCCAAGGACAACCTTGAGGGACCCCTACAGAAAGAGGGAGTGAAGAGGAGGCGGCAGCATTATAGGTAACGCTGAAGGAGCACTGCGATAGGTAGGAGGAGAACCTGGAGAGAGCAGAGTCTCTGAGGCCAAGAGAGTGGAGTTTTTTTGAGGAGGGGGGGGTGGTCAACTGTATCAAAAGCCGCAGAGAGGTCAAGTAGTAAGAGTATGGGTTGGGATGTACGGAGTAGTGGCCATTGGTTGGGATGAGTACGGAGTAGTGGCCATTGGTTGGGGGGATGAGTACGGAGTAGTGGCCATTGGTTGGATGGATGAGTAGGGAGTAGCGGCCATTGGTTGGGATGAGTACGGCCATTTGGGATGAGTACGGATTGGTTGGGTAGCGGCCATTACGGAGTAGTGGCCATTGGTTGGGATGAGTACGGAGAGTAGCGGCCATTGGTTGGGATGAGTACGGAGTAGTTGGCCATTGGTTGGGAGCGGAGTGACGGAGTAGCGGCCATTGGCCATTGGTTGGGAGTGAGTACGGAGTAGTGGCCATTGGTTATAGCAGTTAGTAGATCATTAGTGAGGTTTAGTAGGGCAGTGTCAGTGGAGTGTAGTGAGTGAAAGCCAGACTGTAAAGGGTGAAGAAGGTTGTTGTCGGTGAGGTCGGGAGGTGGGAGCTCAGGCGATTGTAGACTAAGCGTTCTAGGAGTTTAGAGGTAAATGGCAGCAGGGAGATGGGTCTTCAGTTGTTCAGGTCGGTGGGGTCCAGGGAGGGCTTGTTAAGTATGGGAGTGATGTGCGCATGCTTTAGAGGGGAGGGGAGGGCACCAGTAGAGAGGGAAAGATTGAAGATGTGAGGGAGCATAGGATGCAAGAAGAGGGTGACCGTAGTAGTTGTGAGGGGACAGGATCCAGGGGGCAGGTAGTGAGATGGGCTTCTGAGAAACCTTAGTGACCTCTTCGGTAGTAGCGAGGTCAAAAGAGGAAAGTGTTGAGGGAGGTTTAGTATAAGGTATGCTAAGTGGGATGGATGTCTGTGCAGTGGAGATGCCCCTACAAATAGCATCAATCTTGTTTTTGAAATGATTTGCAATCTCGTGAGCAGTGAGTGAGGTGCTGGGTGGAGGTGGAGAAAGTAGAGAGTTAAAAGTAGAGAAGAGACGACGAGGACTGGATGACAAGGTATTAATAAGAGTGACAAAGTTGTCTTGTTTGGCAGCATGGAGGGAGGAATTGTATGTGAAGAAAGCAGATTTATATCGGGTGAATGCTTGCTGGGATTTGGTTTTACGCCACAATCGCTCCAGCGCACGGCTATGTCGTTTAAGATGTCCGGTGTGGTCAGTCTGCCACGGTTGTAATGGTCGGGGCCTGATGCTTCGTGTTGTTAGAGGAGCAAGTGAGTCCAGTGTGGATGACAGTGAACTGTTGTAGACAGCAGTGGCCAGGGCAGGGCAGGACAGGGGAGAGATTCTGTCATAGAGTTGGTCAGTTGCAGAGTGGAAAGGAGCCGGGTTCAAGTTGTGAAGGTTTCTGCAGGTAATTGTTGGCTGCTTGGAGGGATCGGTGTTTGAAGACGAGGACACTGTGAAGGTGATGAGATTGTGATCAGAGAGAGGAAAGGGGGTGTTTGTGAGGTTGTAGGGAGTGCAAAGATGGGAGAAAACAAGGTCTAATGTATTCCCATCATAGGGAGTGGAGGACGGCGTCCGTCGTCGGAGACGGTGTCCATCAGAGTGAGTGGAGGACGGCGTCCGTTGGAGGAGTGGAGGACTGTGTCCATCAGAGTGAGTGGAGGACGGCGTCCGTCGGAGGGAGTGGGGACGGCGTCCGTCGGAGGGAGTGGGGGACGGCGTCCGTCGGAGGGAGTGGGGACGGTGTCCGTCGGAGGGAGTGGGGGACGGCGTCCGTCGGAGGGAGTGGGGGACGGCGTCCGTCGGAGGAGTGGGGGACGGCGTCCGTCGGAGGGAGTGGGGGCGGCGTCCGTCGGAGGGAGTGGGGGACGGCGTCCGTCGGAGCGAGTGGGGGACGGTGTCCATCAGAGGGAGTGGGGGACTGTATACATTGTGCTAATGCAAAAGATGAGGTTAGGTTGAAGAGTTGGGATGTAGCCGGGTTGTTGACATTAATGGGGATGGTAAAATCTCTGAGAATGATAGCGGGTAGTTCAGAGGAGAGAAAGTAGGGTCCAGGTGGAGAAATCATCAAGAAAGCGGGACACGGGTCCAGGAGGCCGATAGATCACTGCAATCCTCAGAGCAATGGGAGAAAACAGCCGGATGCAGTGAGTCTGGAGAGAAGAGAAGGATACAGAGGGAGGGTTAGGGAGGACTTGAAAGGTGCTCAGTGGGGATAGAAGCAAACCAACCCCACCACCTTTCTGACCACTGGGTCCAGGTGAGGCCTCCATAGGAAAGTGCTGCAGGAGAAGCAGAATCTGCTGCTTGTGGCCAGGTTTCTGTAATTGCTAGTAGGTTAAGGGAGACAAAAAGGTCATGGATGGAGGTGAGATTATTACAGACAGAGAGGGCATTCCAGAGCGCACATGGAAAAAGGGAGGGTGGTTTTTGGGAGCACGGAGACTGATGTTAAATTGGGGGGATTGCGGCTATTCCTGGAAGAAGGAGGGTGCCTGGTGTGGGGGTGAAGTAGTGGAGGACCAGGGTTTGGGGAGATATGCCCAGAGGTTAGAAGAAGAAGGGTGCGGAAAGAAAGATGGGAGCGGGATGTACACGAGCGCACATGCCTTCCAGTCCTGGTGTTTGGGTCAGCAGGAGAGTGAAGTATCAGCAGGAGGTGATGAGAGCAGTAGTAGGGAGATGGGAGCAGTGAGGGGGAGATGTAGAAGTTTTGGGGTGGAGCAGAGGGGTAAAGAAATGAGATTTTGGGAACGCAGGAAAGTAATATGAAAAGGAGGAGTAGAGGGGACATATGAAAGGTACACGGAGTGGGACTCAGACTTGTAAGAGATGTTTCCCGGGGTGTTTGCTTGCAGTCTGTCCAGCGTGCAGGAGAGTTTCTTGTTGTGTCTTCCAGCTGCTTGAGTTCTCCTGCTGTGTTCAACTGCTTGAAACAGCACCCATCAACAACGCAGCACTCATGCAGAAACAGCACCCCATCTGTTACTATACCCCCCCGATCTGTGCCCCACTTCATCTCTCAGATCACCCCGATTCCTGCACCATCACCCTGAAGATCACCCCAATTCCTGCACCTTCACCCTGATTCCTGTACCCTCATCCCTCAGATCACCCTGATTCCTGCACCTTCACCCTGATGATCACCCTGATTCCTGCACAGTCACCCTGAAGATCACCCCAATTCCTGCACCTTCACACCTCAGATCACCCCGATTCCTGCACCTTCACCCTGAAGATCACCACCAGTTTATGCTTCAGTTTTTTTATTTATTTCAGGTAGCTATATAGCTGTCAATTTACGCAGCACTTTACATATATATTGTACATTCACATTGTTCCTTCGCTCTCAAGGGGCGTACAATCTAAGGTCCCTGACTCACATTCATACATACACATACCAGGCCAATTTAGACAGGAGCCAGTTAACCTGCCAGCATGTCTTTGGAGTGTGAGAGGAAACCGGAGTACCCACCCAGGCACAGGGAGAACATGCAGGCTCCAGACAGGTGGTGCTGTGGTTGGGAATCTCCCCGGACCCCGCATTCCCTATATCCGCTCTCCCCGGACCCCGCATTCACTATATCCGCTCTCCCCGGACCCCGCGTTCGCTGTATCCGCTCTCCCCGGACCCCGCGTTCGCCGTATCCGCTCTCCCCGGACCCCGCGTTCGCCGTATCCGCTCTCCCCGGACCCCGCGTTCGCCGTATCCGCTCTCCCCGGACCCCGCGTTCGCCGTATCCGCTCTCCCCGGACCCCGCGTTCGCCGTATCCGCTCTTCCCGACCCCGCGTTCGCCGTATCCGCTCTCCCCGGACCCCGCGTTCACCGTATCTGCTCTCCCCGCATTCACTATATCCCCTCTCCCCGGACCCCGCATTCACTATATCCGCTCTCCCCGGACCCCGCATTCACTATATCCCCTCTCCCCGGACCCCGCATTCACTATATCCCCTCTCCCCGGACCCCGCATTCACTATATCCGCTCTCCCCGGACCCCGCATTCCTATGTCCGCTCTCCCCGGACCCCGCATTCGCTATATCCGCTCTCCCCGGACCCTGCATTCACTATATATCCGCTCTCCCCGGACCCCGCGTTCACTATATCCGCTCTCCCCGGACCCCCGCGTTCGCTGTATCCGCTCTCCCCAGACCCCACATTCGCTATATCCGCTCTCCTCCCCGGACCCCGCATTCGCCGTATCCGCTCTCCCCGGACCCCGCATTCACTATATCCGCTCTCCCCGGACCCCGCATTCACTATATCCGCTCTCCCCGGACCCCGCGTTCACTATATCCGCTCTCCCCGGACCCCGCGTTCACTATATCCGCTCTCCCCGGACCCCCATTCACTCTATCCGCTCTCCCCGAACCCCGCATTCACTATATCCGCTCTCCCCGGACCCCGCATTCATTGTATCCGCTCTCCCCGGACCCCGCATTCACTATATCCGCTCTCCCCGGACCCCGCATTCATTGTATCCGCTCTCCCCGGACCCCGCATTCATTGTATCCGCTCTCCCCGGACCCCGCATTCACTCTATCCGCTCTCCCCGGACCCCCATTCACTCTATCCGCTCTCCCCGGACCCCGCATTCATTGTATCCGCTCTCCCCGGACCCTGCATTCATATATATATATATATATATACAGTCTTGTGACTTCTATCAGTGTCCAGCAAAGCACTAGTTAAAGCCTGTAGGAAGAGTTTTCATTCTGCTCTATGAGGATGCAGAACCCCTGACCTGTGTTTGGATAGTGCTGATTGGCCCTCTGCTGATCAGATGCACTTTCCCAAGAAGAAAAAAAAAAGTATATATCTAGCCATACACACTAAACTGAGCATGTGCCTGCACACGATATGTCTTATCAGGAGATAAGAGAGAAGCACTGGAAGAAGGGGAGGAACAGAGAAGACAGGATCAAACATCGTTTTTGCACAATGCAGAGGATTAACCCCTCAGGTTCCACAGTGAGTACAACCAGCACGCTTTCCTGCATCTACAGACTGATTGTACTGTGGGGGGGTCCAGTGACACTTTAATATTTCTGGTTCTGGTAGGAGGGAGCTGGAATCTGAAGGTTGGTGACATCAGGGAGACCGCTGGGCTGGCCAATGACAGGCCAGGCTTTGTAATGACAGCTTGGCGAGTCGCAAAAAGGGCTGAAATTGTTCTCTGGAT